AAAGATATTATATATGTGATATAATTATATATATTTATTAATGTTTTATACATTTGTAACTGTTTTATACAGCATTTTTCTTCCTCTGTGCATTTCCTTTTGGTTTTAATATATTACATTATATTATTCGTTACATGTTATTAATTTTGAAAATTATGTTATTTCCTACTTTTTTTATGAGAATGGACCAAACTATTTATCTTTTCCCCTCTACTATGTGTTCAAATTCTTTTTAAAACAAAACCATGATGTTTCATTTTTTGTAATCATTATTTTAACTATCTGCTCTTATCTGCATTATTTTCATAACTTGGCATGTAAATTCCATTCCTCTTTAAAATATTTGTTTTCTTGGCTTGATCCTAAATATCATGCTTTTTGATGTATTGTATATAAAAAAGTATCTAGACTTTTTATTTAATTAAACTGTAAATTTAAATTTCATGTTTAAAATGCATAATTGTTAAAGAAAATTTCCCCTCATGTTAACATCACTTGTAAACATTAAAATGTCAACATTTGCAAATTTAAAGGGAAATTAAATTCAATTTGAACAAAACAATTTTTTATTTTGTTGCAAAAATATTATTATATAAGTATATATATATATTTTGTTTGTGAAGAAGAACATTGTAAGTAAAACTATGAAAGTTTTATTTTAAATATATATATATATAATTTTCATCATAATAAGAGAGCTATCTAAAGCCTAATACTGATTTTAAAAAAATTAAGGTTGAAAAATTATCTTAAAAGTTTCTGAGTTATTTCCGTTAGCTTTGTAATATTTGATTAATTTTTTTAATTTAATTTTCAGAATTGATAATAGTTTTTTTTTGCTCTTTTATTCGATTGCATTATTTTCTGATTTAATGTATAGGGATTTAAAACTTCCTACATGTCTTTTGAGTGCATGCTGAAGTGCCTGTAAAAGTGGTTCAAATAAGGGTGCATTTTTCTGAATGAAATTTTTTTTTAATTTCTCAAAGGAAAATTAAGAAGTTTTTTATTGCTTTTACTTTTTTGTGTGGCTGACTGATTCTCTGATTCTTTTTCAGAATGTGTATTAAGTTTTAGAAAATATAATTTGTAATCTCATTTAAACTATATTTATACTTGCACTGTAATTTCATTCAAACTGTGATGAGTTAGATACAAATCTTGTCTATCAGATTAAAGACTGAATTTAGAATTACATCAGTATTAAAAAAATCTGCACCTACTCCTGATTTATAATTATACATCTACTAAATGCACCTAATCATTGAACTCAATTTTTGAAAAAAAAATTTCTAGTTTTGTTCCATTGAAATGTGCTACATTTTTTTATTAGTCCCAATAGAACTTGAAACTTCCACAAAATGTGATTGTGTAATTGTTATAAATATTTTATAAAATCTTTGCTTGTGAGGTTGATTCATTAACATTGTTGATAATTTGGAAATGGATAATGCACTGTTCTGATAAAAAAGAACATTTTTTTTCTACCCTTGCAGAAAGTTGCATTTGAATGACTTTTTATTGGTTGATAAAAAGCTGCTATGTTAATTCTATGGGAGTACTATTTCCTGGAATTTCATACCTCACATTGAATAATTAAGAACCAGATTTTGATGAGATTAGAACTCTTCAATCTCTATTTTTTAAATGTTTGCATCAATATATTTCTCATTCATTACTATTTATTTTTGTTATTTTAGCTCTTGTTTCAATATGTAAGTACATTCTGAGTTTTTTTCTAACCTTTTGCTTTCAATTGGAATAAGAGGCTAGCATGCTAAGTGCTATATCTAGATTATATCTACAATTAAATGTAGTTTTAGAAAGAAAAAAAAGTT